ATTTTTTTTTTTTATAACAGCTGTCTATGACCCTATTCATATATTTACTTCTTAACCACCAAATATTTCCATCATGACATTAATCAAATTTCCAGTATCAATATTTTGTGCGAAGCCACAATTCTGTATTTTTATGATGTTCTAAAAAAAAAAAGATTACGTTACTTAAAGTCCAGCATTACTCATCAGGCTGTGTGTGACCCATTGTCTATTCCACATAACTGGAGGAGGTAACATAGAGTACAGATTAGTAATATCCTTCTTCAGAGCGTGAGTAAAGCAGGGTTTTGGCAGCGGAAATGGGCCATAGATCTTCCCGTAGCCACTCAGCAGAAATGAGCCACAAATGACTAGTAAATGTCTTCCCTTCAGGGCTGATGTTCCCCTCAGGTGCATTCCTTCCTTGTGGACTCCTTACCGACAAGCTCTTTCCTTGGAGCTGCTGTTATTTAACAGGAGGTAAAGTGATAGCTCCTTTGTCAGGGAGTTAAGACGGCATCATTAGTACAACACAGGGACTTAACACCATCCTAGATTCTCAGGAACATTTGTAGTGCTCATTAAATCATTAGTCAATAGTTTGTCTCCTTCTGAGAGGACTGATTTTGTACAACAGGAATTAGTTACGGGATATTTGTCTCAAGAAGTATATCACTGCAATGCTTGAAATTCAGACAGATAAATGGACACATACATTTAGAATATTATTACAGAATACAACCTAAGTGTAGGTTAAAGATAACCTGTCATTAACTTAAAAAATGGCAGAACAACATACTCAAAGAGTATGGGAAATTTTAGACTTGGACGTTTAGTCAAGGCTTCCCTCGATGGGACCCAACAGCCTCTAAAACCATAGAAATACAGAAAGGAGTCCAAGATAATTTATTTTTTTTAGGTAAAAAAAGTCATAAAAAACTTCCAAAGAGTTTCAGGAGAACACCACTCCCCCTTCATCACACAACAGCCAATGCTTAGGTATGATTCGGGAACCATTGAATATAATGGGAGCCTTCATGTTGAGCATCGTCACGCTTTGGGAAAAGCACAACAAATTGCTCAGGTGTGAATGGGAGGCTAAAAACCCTGACAACTCTGCTGGGCGCTGCCTTGTTTTATGTTAAGTCAGCAACCCCAGCAGACTCGAGGTGTCACCTAAGTGATCTAGCACTGAACTCTCCTCATGGAGGAACAACATGACACCTCCTCATGGAAAAACAGCCTGAATACTGGTTCTAATATAGATCTGTGAAGTCACTGTTTTCTTTGAATCCATCCAAGTCTTATCCTGTGTTGAGCCCTAATAAAGGGGGAGCGGTGTTGCCTGCAAAATGCGTTGGCTATATTTTATTACTTTTTTAATAAAAAATTAAAATGAACTTGGACTCTTTTAACAGACTTTGGTCTGGTGCTCCTTTCTGTATTTCTATGGTAAAAAATATTGCAGATAAAAAGCACAGAAAAATCAAGAATTTTAATCTTTACTCGCAGCATTATTCCTCTCCAAAAATTATTTGTTATTCACTTTCACTGTGCCTCTGTATTTGCTTGAAAATTTGACAGATTCAATTCCGTAGCACAATCCCCTCCCTCCTTGCACATCATAGCCCTCTCCTTTTCTGGGAGTAATTACTGTCTGTGCTGGTCAAGCTCCTCGATCCTTTCTTTTATCTTCTAACATAACCTTTTATGTAGCTTCCAGAGGAGAATGACGGGAAACACTTTTGATTACCACTTCAATGACAGCTCTGAGTCTGCTGGGGCTGCTGACATAACATAAAACAAAGCAGCACCCAGCAGTCTCAGGGTTTTTAGCCTCCATTCACACCTGAGCGACTTGTTCTGCATTTCCCAAAGCATGACAACACTCAACATGAAGATGCCCATTATATTCAAAGGTTCCCAGTTCACACCTGAGTGTCCTTTGTAGAGTAAACAAATACACAGGCTTTTTCTGGCAGAATGGCATGTTTTTGGCCACATAGCCATCAATGAAAGTGTCTGAAACTGTATGTTAGAAATGCAAGTTGTTAGATGCAAAAAGGATGAGGTTTTGTATATTTTTTGCATCTAACAACCAGTCTATTTCTCCTTCTAGCAACTTCAAGACTGTAAACAAATTGGAGGATTTGAAAGAGTTCATACTGGGTATGGCGACTCATCTGCCTGATGGGTGCCCACAAGAATCTCCATGACCCCAGTGATGCCCAATACAAGAACTGTAGCAAGCAGAAGAGAGCCTCAGAAGGCAATGGCATAGTGGCCATGGCTCAAGATAGCCACTACAAAAAAACAGAAAGCAGACAAGGACAATGACAACACATGATGTCACAGATGATACAGTTTACTGATTGGACTAAACAAAATGACTACGTGCCAGTTCACATATATGCAGATTGGATGCAGTTTGAACTACATCCAATCCGCATGACATGTGAAAATACATTGCTTCCTATGGTGCCTGTTCACATATGTCCAGTGCACTGTGTGGATTCATTGCGGTTTTATAATGAGCCATGTCCAATTTCTGAGCAGTGGCTTCAGGTTCAGGTGTGGATTACAGGCTATTGACTTCTATGGAAACCGTTCCTAAACCGCATATGTGTGAACAGGATAAGATCCTGAGCTAATCCTTTCCTGAACCTGATGTAAACCTGAACCTGATGTAAACCTGCCATGAACCTGTGAACAGCTACTGTATCAATTAGCTGTGAAACCTGAGCTTCAATCCGCACCGCATATGTGTGAACAGGAAAAGGTCCTGAGCTAATCCTGTCCTGAACCTGATGTAAACCTGACAGGAACTGCAAAACAACTACTGTATTAATTAGCTGTGAAACCTGAGCTTCAATCCGCACCACATATGTGTGAATCAGCTCTAATGCTTGAAAGCTGATTCACAGATGTACAGTGCAGATTGAAGCTCAGGTTTCACAGCTAATTGATACAATAGCTGTTCACCGGTTCAGGTCAGATTTACATCAGGTTTAGGACAGGATCAGCTCAGGATTTTATCCTGTTCACACATGTCAGGTTTAGAAACAGTTTCCATTGAAGTCAATAGCCTGTAATCAGCACCTGAACCGGACCGCACTGCTAAGAAATCAAACATTTCCCTTTTTAAAACCACACTGAATTTGCACCGCCAGTGCACCAGACACAGGTGAACAGGCGCCATAGGAAGCAATGTTTTTTCACATGTCATGTGGATTGGATGCAGTTCAAACCGCATCCTATCCGCGCATATATGAACGGGCACCGAAGCTTATCATGTCCTCATTAAAAAATGTCCCCTCTATTCTTGTTCTATAGTAGTAGAAACTCAAAATTTGGAATATACCCATACCTTCATTCCTGGTCACATTGATAACCAGGACAATTAAAGAGATGGACTCTCAATAACAGGGATAAGAGTGGCAATAAAAAAAAACCTGGCAAAGATTCTTATCACCACTCTATCCAAATCTAAAGAAATGTTTTGCCTTTCGTTATACTTTAAATTACCAAAAGCAGAACTATATAAAGCTAGTTAAAGGAAGTGAATTTCCTTTAAATAAGCCAATGCTTTGCAATTAAAAAAAAAATAACTTCCAAGTGGAATGGGTAAAATAACGTAGTGCATACATCATGCTAAAAATATTCAATGCTTTGTACACTTAACAGAATAAATACATAGTCCTGTCAACACAAAAAAGTATTTTCTTGGGTTTTTCTTCGTTTTTTTTTAATGTTTGACCATAAAATGTAATGAAAAGGCTTGTGGGTAGCATACAGCTTTCATGATGTAATGCTAATGCTTGTCTCTGGCGGGAGAACAAGGACACTCAAACACGCACACACACATATACTGTACAGGATATACAAATACTGCATGACTATAGATCTACAGCACTACTCACATCAGCTTCTCCTTGATCGATGACATAAAAGTTGTCACCTTCATCACCTGAAAGACATTAAATAAATATGGATAAATAAAGATGTGTATTTCTATAGTGCTTGATGTCTATTTCAAAAATAAATAAATAAATACATTTAAAGTGACCCTTTAGGCTCAAAAATACTTCCAGATTCTGCCACATGGCTGTCAGTCAAACACTAGTAGGCACTACAGAGGGTATGGTCATGGGTTTATAACTGAAAACATATATGGTTTAATAAAACCTATGAAGGAAAGGGAAATGAATTCTAAGTGTTTAGTAAGATGGTATATTACACCGAATGTAGCGCATAGAATAAGTGGAGACAACTCACCTTTATGTTGGCGGGGATGTGGAGAGAGAGGTACAATGGTACACTTATGGTGGGAGTGTCACAAAATTCAAGAATACTGGGAGGGCATAGTGAATATAATTCAGAAAATAACAGAGGTAAATATTCCTAAGGACCCTGAGACTTGCCTTCTTTTTGGTCCGCACACTTTTACCCCCTTCCTGTCCAGGGAAATTTTCAGCTTTCAGCGTTATCACACTTTGAATGACAATTGTGCAGTCATGCAACACTGTACCCATATGAATTTTTTACCATTTTTTTGAGACAGATAAAGCTTTATTTTGGTGGTATTTATTCACTGCTGGGATTTTCATTTTTTTTGCTATGTAAATGAAAAAGTCCAAAAATTTTGAAAAAAAGTGTTTTTCTTATAAAATTTTGCAAATAAATAATATTTTATCATAAATCTTGGCCAAAACTTATTCTGTTTTTTATTTTATTTTTTTATATTATGTTTTTGTTTTTTTTTTACATACTGTCACCCTAGCAGTACAGTGTCACCATTGTGACACTGTACTACTTGTGGGGGGTGATGAAGATTTTTTTTTTTACACTGATTGCTTTTACACCCATATAGGATGTAAAAGCAATCATTTCTCTTTCTCTCTGTCTGCATTCTTGCAGTCATTGAGAACTACTGAGTGAGCTGTGATTGGTCACAGCTTGTCACATGGTACAAGGCTGTTGTGAATAGCCTTGTACCATGTGACCTCTGTGATCATTCACAGGTTTCACATGTAGTAAGCAATGATGTCACAAGGGACATCTTGCTTACTACTTTGCATGTGATCACTGATTGGCCAATCAGTGATCACATGATCGGGACCTCATACAGAGGTTCCGTTCGACGATCGGCGTTTCACTGTGTCCAGAGGAGCTCGCACAAGCAGGGTGCGGGGAGGACATTTATAAACAGCCACCTGACCCTGCACTGCCACCGTCCGGTAGTTTATATACAACGGGAGGTGGTTAAAAAAACTGGATTATTGTATTATTTAAATGCAGCGAAGGGACTGACCCAAGTTTTGGAAGAAACAACAGGAAAATAAAGGATTGGGTAGAAAGAGTGGAGAAGATATATAGAATGGAGGAACTTTACCATATGGAGGAAGATAAAATGGAGGTATTTCGTAAAAGTTGGGAAAAGTGGGTACAGTTTAAAAATTCAGAGGTATACCTTGAATATGTGAAATAGGTAAGGGGAGGGGTAAAAGGTCACCGAGATTAAGGTTATTAAGGGAGTGTTATGACAGAAATGTGTAATGTATACTGTCTGTTTTATTAGCTTTTGTACATTTAATATGGTGATTTGAAAACAATAAAATATTTAAGTTAAGAAAACCTATAAGGCGTGCTGTGCATTAGCGGTCTACCTGAGGTTCCTCAACAGGAAAGCACCCAAGGGAGACAATGACAACACTATGGGCAGCATTGTTACCCGATCACAAGCAGCCCATAGAGGCAGAAGAAACTGGAATGTTCTCCTGGTAATTACTGTGCCTTTTCAACTACCAAACGAGAAAAGTTTGTATGGCTATATGAAATTGACCTTAAAGTGACACTAAACTCTGATATAAAAAGAAATTATTCTATTCAAGTATCTACTCTTAACGCCAAAAGGTACCTTCTCTTGTTCCTAGCCTCTTCCAGCTCTCCCAAGTTCCTTTTTTTTTTTTTGCTGTTGTGACCCGATGACTTCCTGTTAGAAGTTGGCTATGTTCATCTTCCATGGTACCGCATTTTGTAGGATCGTAGCCACCCTTTCTTGCTTGCTCCCAAGATGGACTAGGGACTATGGGACAGTGTGCATAGAGTTGTGCGCATGCCGGCAACTAACATTTACTGATCATTCCAAACAAAATTGTGTGTGTATGGCTTTACCCTTCCCCTAAGCACTAGCATAGCTTTACAGTTACAGGGTGGCTCCTTTCCTTTGCATGGCCCTAAGGAGCCAATACTGTGTGTGTGCTACCAGCTGGGACTAAAGCGGAATGTCCCGTGTCAGCATAAAAACAAAGCTAAATAGTAAGACACTCCCCTTCCTCCACCTTCTCAAAGCTAATTGATGGACAGCTGCAGGAGACCCTTATCACATTACACAATGAGTGCACTCCCCCAATGGGAAGTTCAGGGAAGCGGTGCTGATGTATCTACAGCTGGTGCCAGTGACTGGTGAAAAAAGTCATGTTGCTTGGGCACATATATGAATAAAATAATGTACTGGGGAATGTTTCCCAGGGTTTTGGGAATATACACTATTTATTTATTAAAAGTAGAGCATTTAACTTTAAGTAGATAGTAGTACTTTTTAATAACAAGTGTAGGCCTATCAGAATTGCAGGCTGAAATCCTCATATGCAAAGCATTGAATCTTTGGCAAAAAGAAAGAAACTACAACTACGTGGGGGGGGGGGCTATTTTGTAAAGGTAGGATTTTTGCCCACAGCAGTAACATTTTTTGATACAAATTAAGTAAATACTTGTGAGCCACTAGAAGTTTTCTTACTCTTAAGGCAATTGATTGCGTGCATAAAAAGTGCTATAAATAATAAATATGTGAAATACTAATTAATTCATTACGTGCTTAACTCAATTATATAAAATATTAGATCGCCAGGTACTTATTACACCCTCTCCAGGTGTATGGATGTTAGCTATATATATCAATATTGTACCGCGCTCCAATATATACAACTGTGAGTGATATTATCATTTTAAAGTGATATTATAAATAAGTAAGTGTATCACCAATAATTCGGTAATAATCTAAATCTATTATATTTAAATCCATAATTAATATAAATATATAAATAAATTATAATGAATTGTAAAGGAATCGATTAATATTTTTGAATAAAAAATTTTGGTGCAGAGAATTAATAAAAAATTATGGTGAAATGTAAAGGAATCAATTCATATTTTTGAATAAAAAATTATGGTGAAATGTAAAGGAATCAATTAATATTTTTGAATAAAAAATATGGTGCAAAAAATTAATAAAAAATGTAAATATAAAATATGTAAATATATAAGTGGAAAAAAAAAAAAAAAAAAAACGGGAATGACAGTTCAGTTCATACGAATTGAGATGGTGTTGTAGTTCAGTCTAATCTGTGTGATAGATCAGTGTTCACGGCGTGAGCCTTTCTCTCCTTTCTCCTCTCTTCTCTCCTCAACACAGCCTTCTCAATAGGACTTTCTCCACTGGCTGCTTGGCTTATTCCTCCATATACGATACATACAGAGAAGGGAAAAGAAACATAGTGTCTTATCCGGGATAACAGTTGTTTATTAAGCTTCTGATCTCCCACTCACATGGTATAATTAAAAGTAGCGCTTTGTATAAAATGTGTCCAGATCCTACTACAAACAGCCTTGCAGGTGTGTTTGTCTTCACTGAATATACTCGCCGTTCCTCTGTGGATGCGTGATGACGTCACCGCCCCTCCCCTACGCGTTACGCTACAGGGACTCGTAGCTTCCTCTGGGGGATGTAGTTTGAAACTGAACTGAACTGTCATTCCCATTTTTTTTTTTTTCCACTTATATATTTACATATTTTATATTTACATTTTTTATTAATTTTTTGCACCATATTTTTTATTCAAATATATTAATTGATTCCTTTACATTTCACCATAATTTTTTATTCAAAAATATGAATTGATTCCTTTACATTTCACCATAATTTTTTATTAATTCTCTACACCAAAATTTTTTATTCAAAAATATTAATCGATTCTTTTACAATTCATTATAATTTATTTATATATTTATATTAATTATGGATTTAAATATAATAGATTTAGATTATTACTGAATTATTGGTGATACACTTAGTTATTTATAATATCACTTTAAAATTATAATATCACTCACAGTTGTATATATTGGAGCGCGGTACAATATTGATATATATAAATAACATTTTTTGTCTATGTAAGAGTTCCCTGAGCAGTAACAAACTTCCCCCCACCCCAAATCTGATGCCTCATAGTTCCTGAGCCATATACGTTTGGAAGAGTCAGTGGCATTCTTCCACTGATGATCTTTTTAGCGGTCAGTAAGATTAGCATTCTTCCACTGAACAGCAATATAATGATATGGGCAGCACAGCGGCTAAATGGTTAGCACTTCCGCCTGGCAGTACTAGGGTCATTGGTTTGAATCCCAGCCACGGCACCTCCTGCCTGGAGTTTGCATGTTCTCCCTGTGCCTGCGTGAGTTTCCTCTGGGTACTCTGGTTTCCTCCCACACTCCAAAAACATGCTGGTAGTTTAATTGGATCCTGTCTAAATTGGCCCTTGCATATGAATATGAGTTAGGGACCTTAGATTGTATGCCCCTTGAGGGTTAGGGACTGATGTGAATGTACAATATATATGTAAAGAGCTGTGTAAATTGACAGCGCTATATAAGTAAAATATAATAAATAAATATTGTAATGAAGCACATCACCATTGATGTAAGGGAGTCCATGCAGTTCAATGCATGACAGTTTTACAAAAGGGTTGAGGACTTCTTTCCCTGCGTTTCTTGCGCATAGGGCAGCCCATTGAAATGATGAGCTGTCCTACATGCAGCATGCATAGATGTGAACCAAGCCTTTAAGACATCCATGTAAATATTAAAACATATGCTAGTTGCTTTCAGATGGTCTAAAATATATAAAATAACAAACATTATAAACAAAACTTACTTGGGAACGTTGGATTAAAAAAAATGAAAGCTTATTAGGAAATTATAACACAGCATAACCTTGTTACATAAGAGAACAAAGGGCTACAGACACATTCAAGGTCCCCGTGTTCCAATAATTCCATATTTAGGCCTGTCATCAGAGACAGCACAGTCACCAGAGCTCTCAAAGCATTGTTTAAAGTAAAGTCTGTGCCAAACCCACACTGCAGTATATTATTGCTGTGCGTGTCAAAAAAAGAAAAGACTGTATACAATGATGTGCAGGAAGCAAGATTAACTTGCAAGTCAATTATATCTTAGACGTATATAGCCGGATCAGGTAACCTGAGCAGATATCTATAGTTATCCTACGAAGCACTGCACGCTGTAAAGAGCAAAAAAGGTGGGCAAACTGTGGCAACTAAAGGGCTGCACCAATTCTGATACCGGTATTGGTGCCAATGCTAAGCAACTGTATGAATATCGGTACTTGTGCAAATGCTCCGATACCTGAAATCAATACCTTCAGGCTCAGTTTTATCAGCTGTCAGCGGGATTCTCGTGCTGATAGCTGAAATGTAATCAAAAAAAGGTAGCAAAAAAAAAAGCTGGAAATTAGTGGTTAAGGAGCAGTGCCACTGCGTCCTTAACCACTTCCAGACCGGACACTTTTACCCCCTTCCTGACCAGGGCAATTTTCAGCTTTCAGCGCTATCACACTTTAAATGACAATTGCGCGGTCATGCAACACTGTACTCAAAGGAATTTTTTAACATTTTTTTGAGACAGATAAAGCTTTATTTTGGTGGTATTTATTTACCGCTGGGATTTTAATTTTTTTTGCTACGTAAATGGATAAGTCCCAAAATTTTGAAAAAAAGTGTTTTTTTAATAAAATTTTGCAAATAAATAATATTCCATTATAAATCTTGGCCAAAATTTATTCCGTTATCTTTTTAAAAAAAAAAAAAAAATCCAAATTAGTTTATAACCAAAAATTATAATTTTTAAACATTTTTTTTTTACATTTTAATATTATTATTTTTTATTTTTATTTTTTACATACTGTCACTCTAGCAGTACAGTGTCACCATGGTGACACTGTACTACTTGTGGGGGGTGATGAAGATTTTTTTTTTTTTTTTTACACTGATTGCTTTTACACCCATATAGGATGTAAAAGCAATCATTTCTCTTTCTCTCTGTCTGCATTCTTGCACTCATTGAGAAGTACTGAGTAAGCTGTGATTGGTCACAGCTTGTCACATGGTACAAGGCTGTTGTGAATAGCCTTGTA